CCCCTTATTGCACCCTGCTTATGCCCCCTCCATCCTCCCCTTTCCCCCCACCCCTTTAATGTCTTAATGTATTTTGTCCTTCCTGGTTTGGAGGGACCGTACTGCTGGAAAAGCCTGGATTTTGCTCAAGGGCCATGTGTCCCCCTGAAAATAAATTATAATAAATGATAATTGTCCACGTCTTTCTCTCTCTCTTGCTGGTTCTTCCCCATTTCTTTTGGCCAACAAGCATCAAGATGCTTTCCCAGCTGCTGCCTAGCCTCTTCTTTTCCATGATTTTGTGTTAACATCTCCTTCCCTTTGCCCTCAGCATCAGGTCCTGCCAACGTAAGGATGGTGATCAGCCCTGACTCCTGCACGGGATGTGTTTCACAGTGACCTGGGGGACGGTGTGCAATGACCTCGACAGAGCCTGCATGTTCTACCGGCAGCAGAGGGTTAAACTGCAGTCAGGACCGCTGTCTCGCCCCTTGCTGTTGACGGGTCGCCCCGTGTTGGCTGCATGTCCTCTGATTGTGCAGTGAGTGTAGGTGCCCAGCTCACAGACAGACACGTACCTGTGGCCACCGGCAGGTGGGACTCTTAATTTTGAGCTGGATCTGGCCCTTACAGAATTCCTCCCTCCCTACCTAATTTTGTGAAGAATTAGCTGCTTCACACCGTTGCTCCATGCAATTTCCAAATGCTGTTCTTGCCTTCCAAAGCTCTCCACATCTCCTGCCGTCGAGGCTGCAGCTCCCTGGCCACCACCTTCATGGGGAGGAACCCCTTCATGGGCACAGCCTGTGAGATGGCACCTGGGCTTGCTGGGCAGGAGACCCTGCTCCTGAGCATTGTTGACTATGGCACGCCCGGTAAAATCTGACCATTTGCTCCCCAGGGGTGTTTGCAGGGACACCCACTCCAGGTTCAACCCGTCCCAGGTTGGTGTATGGCTCAGGTTTCTGCTCTGGCAGAGTTGCGTCCTCCATGATGGCGCACGGGGCTCCATCTGTGACGGCAGTCAGAGCCTGATGGACGCCCAAGTGGTGTGCGGGGGGGGGTTGGCTGCAGCCTTTGAGCAGGGGTCAGGACCCATCTGGCTGGACGAAGTGACCTGCGCTGGGATGGACACTGCCCTTTTTCTGTGCCGGGCAAGGTCCTGGGGAAGCCAGAGCTGCAGCCATGGAGAGGATGCTGACCTTGAATGCACAGGTAACTCTGGACTCCTGCCCCATCACGGCTGGCATCCAGGCTATCATAGTTTGGTTGGTTTGGGGAGTTTTTTTGAGGGAGGGGTAGAGAAAAGAGCAGAAGACCTTTGAAATGGTCCTGGATGTAGATGTCTCCATTGCAGCCCTGCCAACAGAGGTAGGAAGAATCCCGTGATGGGTGGCTGTGTGCTGGGGAAGGGAAGAGGGAGCCTCAGAGAGGACGTCCATCCAGATGCCACCTGTCAGGGAGGGTGATGAGTTTGGGGAGGTGGTGAGCACCTGAGGGAAGCCTGCTCTTCTCACTTTGGGTGGGCAACCTCACCCTCCAGCTGCATGGTTCTGGGATGGTTGAAGGACTGGGCATCTCCATCCCTGTCACCTCCCCTGGGACATCCAGATGGTTTTGGTGCTTGTCTCTTTTTCAGAACCTACTCTGAACCGAATGGCTCCAGCCATTGCTCAGGAAGAGTTGAGGTGCACCAAAACCAGCAGTGGGGGATGGTGTGCGATGCCAGATGGGACCTGAGTGATGCCAAGGTGATCTGCTGGCAGCTGGCAGGGCTCTGTTTGGGCAAGGACACAGTCCCATCTGGCTGGACGAAGTGAACTATACAGGGACGGAAGGTGCCATCACTGAATGCAGCTTCAAGCTCTGGGGAGCCCATAACTGCAGCCATGGTGAAGATACAGGTGTCATGGGCTCAGGTAAGCCTGGTCCAGGTCATGGCTTCAGGGAGAAGTTTTTCTGTAGGTATACTTGCATCGAATTTCAGTTTGCTTCCCTCTCTGCACACGTTTTCCTTTGTGTATAACGCCATTGCAAGCAACAGTCAAAAATGCTTGGGAGGTGAGGTAGCTCTGCTTCTGTAGGCATCGTGTCAGTGGACTGTCTGGATAGACTCCTGCCCATGTGCAGTAATCTATCTGACACCTTAAAATGTTGATTCCCAAGTGGCTTGCCACATCCATCATGCACACCTGCTCTGGATGTTGAGCCTGTGGTCAGAGGAGGCATTTGGCCATGGGTGCTTGCCATGTGTGGCTGCAGGCTTCTCCATCTGTATGTCCCAAGCTTCTTCTGGATCTCTAGATGTAGTCCAAGACGGAAAGACATGCCCCCCATCCCTCCAGCTTGCATTGGGATGCCAGCCCTGTCTTACCAGAAGGCAAAACCTGGGTGATTTCAGGGAATATTTGTAAGGAGCTACAGTAAAGTAGAGCAAAGAGAGAAGCACCATGGAAAGACTTTCCTCCTTGATGGACCCAAGCCAGTCCAGCCTTCATCTGGCTAGAGTTAATAAATGCAGGTTTTTAAAGTCTTTCCTTGTTAGATGTGTTCTCTGAGGGACATGTAGTCACCCTAGCAGACTTCAGAAGCATGCTCATGGTTTGGACATGGATGTCAGAGAGTCTTCCTGGCATTGCCCAAGGGAAACACTCTCTGTGAGGCATTTCACAGTGGTTTTACGTTCTCTTAAATACAACCAGGTCTTTCTGTTGCTTCCAACTTGGAGGTGCTGATGTGGATGGGGGAAGGACAGTTATGCACTCATACCTCATATGGTTGCACGTTGTTGTCAACACCAGCTGGGCATCTGCTTCAGAGAGCTGATGTCCACCATGCCCCCATTTATTCGTTTGTCTCATTCCCCCTTTAGACCCCACGGAGCTACGGCTGGTGAACAGCATGAATTGCTGCGCTGGGTGCCTCGAGGTGCTTCACGACCAGCAGCGGGTGTCCGTGTGCAACAATGGATGGGACATGGAGGATGCTGCAGTGGTCTGCCAGCAGCTGGGCTGCAGGGTGGCTGCGTCAGCCCCAGGCTCGGCTCATTTTGGGCCAAGATCCAGCCATATCTAGCTGGGTGATGTTGAGTGCACGCGGACAGGCACCCTCTCCGAATGCAGGTCCAGGATGGAGGAACCCATTAATTGCCACCATGGGGAAGATGCTGGTGTTGTGTGCACAGGTGATTTTTTTTTATTTTTTTTTTTTCCTCCTGAGTGGCATTATTCAGGGGAGTATTGGGCTGTGTGTCTGGAAAGGTGAGTGACTTTGCTGGTGACATGGGCTTCTCTGAGCCAAAAAGCACCAAACCCCACTGAAGAGCTCAGGTCGCTCCTCTGCAGAGGTCTGTCCTCCTTGTTTAGTCACTGGTCTTGCTGGTGAAACCCGAGAGTGTGGAGGACCCGAGCAACCTGAGAAACGCTGAGCACAAGAGTCTGAGCAAAGCAACGAGAGGTGCATGAAGAAGCCTTCAAGGGGATGGGGAGAAAGAGGCTTTACTTAGAGACCTAGAGGGTGAGATGTAGAGTTTGTTGCAATCCAGAAAATCACCAAAAGCCGCTGGATTGAGAGCGGAGTAGGAAGAAGGGATCCATTGTACAAAGACACCAGTGGCCAGGAACAGAAGAGTTTTACAATTTCCTCTGTTCTTTTCTGGCAAGCATGTCTGGATTTTCTCTATTTCAGCAGTTTTCTTATTGTATCTGATGTTAATTAAAGCCTAGCTTTAAATATCCAACATCCTTCTAGTGTCTGGAGATGTTCAGTATAACAGCAGGACCAAGTGTGTCCTTCTCAAAGGTCCAGGTTGCCAGTGGCATAAAAGGAGCAAAAATGGGTGATGTGCATTAGCCACTACGAGCAACGCAGGCATGGAAGGAGAACTCCAAAAAGGGTGTCCACCCTGAAAATTAGTCAGGTTGGATGGGTCCTGAGCAACCTGATGTAGTTGAGGATGTCCCTGCTTATTGCAGGGGGTTGGACTAGATGGTCTAGGGTCTAGAGAACAAGTCTTATGAGGAGCAACTGAGGGAACTGGGGTTGTTTAGCCTGGAGAAAAGGAGGCTGAGGGGAGACCTTATCGCTCTCTACAACTACCTGGAAGAAGGTTGTAGCCAGGTGGGGGTTGGTGTCTTCTCCTAAGTAACAAGTTGTGCCAGGGGAGGTTTTGGTTGGATATTAGGAAAAATTTCTTCACTGAAAGGGTTGTCAATCACTGGAACAGGCTGCCCAGGGAAGTGGTGGGGTCACCATCCCTGGAGGTATTTAAAACACATGTGATGCTTAGAGTCGTGGTTTAGTGGTTGGACTTGGCAGCGTTGAGGTTAACGGTTGGACTTGATGATCTTAAAGGTCTTTTCCAACCAAGACAATTCTATGATCTTTAAAGTTCCTTTCCAACCCAAACCGTTCTATGCTGGTGTGATGTCCTTGCTCAAGCTCGGATAGTGCACACCTGCCAGCAGCTCAGGAAGCAGAGACAGGGCTGTGCACGCTGGAGAGTGAAGATGGGCTTTCATTCAGCCCAAGCCGTCCTGTGCTTGTAGACCCCACTGGAATCGTCTTGAGCACCATGGCCAACAACGTCATCTCAGGATGGAGGTTCCCAAGTATGCGCTTAGTACAAGTTAGAGGGGAATGATCCTGGCCATGTTATGATGAAAACCTTCCAGGAGGAAAAGCTACAGCATGGGGAATATCCTCATGGCTGAGCTGGGAAGATGAGGTCCATGGTTGGTGTTGGAAGGACTTATCCCAGCATCCATCCTTGCCCTTCTCTTCCCACCTAACTTTGGACAAACCTCAAGTGTTTTGTGGTCCCCTCAAGGCCAGTGGGAACAGAGAAGCATCTCCATGTCCTTCTAAGAAGGATGTCTGTGTCCAGCAAGTTATGCAGGACAGGATGCACTTGTAGGGAGTCACCTGGACTCAAATGCAGTCTCCTTGGGAGAGTACCAGATGGGTGGTACATCCTGCAGGCACCTCTGGCTTCACTGGTCACCCAGGCTTCTTTGAGGAAAGAAACTGGTGACCATGGGATGTTGTTTGCAGAAGGGACCATTCTGTGATCATCCAGCCCTGGTAGAGCCCACCAGGAATAAGCTTATTGTCCTGCTTGGATCAGTCAGAGTGGTGGCCTTGGCTTCCCCAGCGGTCCACCCTTGAAGCACAGACAGTTATGATGCACAAGATGGTGCATGGATGTGGGCGTTGAATGGCCACGACCAGTACAAACGTGCCACAGCACCGAGGGGAGCATGCCTGATGGTGACAGGGTCTTAGCAGAAGCTTTCTTTGCATCTCCTTTGCTGAATCATACGATCACAAAACAATGTAGGAAGGGATCTCTGGAGAGCTCTGGTCTCATCTTCCACTCTCCGTTAGACCAACTAGACGATGTTGTTCATGTCCTTGACCAGTGAAGGTGTGAAGGTCCTCAAGGGTGGAGATCCAAATGTCTTTCATGTCTCTGTTACAATATTTAACCATCCTCATGGAGGAAAAGAGCATTTTCTGTTGCCTAATGGGAATTTGCCATGGTACACACTGTGCCCATTTCCTCATGTCCTTGTGATGTCGATTTATCTCCTGAATTAGCTCTGGATGAAGAGATGTTTGCTTTCTCCCCACCGGCTCTTTTACCATCAGACCTGTGCTGCTGCTCCCATCGCTGGTCTCAGTCATCCCTCCAGTCTCGATGCTGGTCTGCGGGGCTCTTCAGTACCAGAAGAGGACATGAATGCAAAACAGGGCTTTTAATTCCCCGAGGTGAGCTCCGGTGCAGGTGAAGAGGGCAATGCAGCTTGCAGAAGAAATGTGTGGTTAGAAACAAGTTTTGTTCAAAAATTTGACATTGGCAGAGTTGGGGCAGAAGGTTTTTTCCCTGGTGGCTCATCTTGAACTTCCTTTTCTGGTTTGACCTTTTTTCTCCCCATCCCTTTCCCCTTTCTCTTTCTGTCCACTCTTCCCCTTTCATTTTGACACCGTCTTCCCTGCTGGGTAACGGACATGCTGGGAGGTGGGACAGCCCTTGAAGCCTCCTCGAACACTGCCCACGCTTCCCTCTGCTCCCTGCGCTGCCTCTACATCAGATAAGAGCTCTGAGCAGAGGACAGCTCTATGGGTTTGTAGCTCCCTCTTGGGAAGGGATGTTTCATCTTTAGCCCAAGGGGTAAGAAAAGACCAGGAGTTGTGTCTGTTCCTGAAGTTTTAGGGCTGCGGTGGAGACTCTTGGAAAGTGGGGTTGAGCGGTTGGGGTTGCCAGTGTTGAACATCCCCATGTTGTCTTGTCGAACGTCCATCACGTTGATGAAAGGTACTGCGTGTGGATCAAGGGTGGCTTCATGCCTGAGTGCTGGCTGGGGTGATGGTGGTATGTCCTGTGTTGCTGCTGTTGTTGACCAAGCCACAGTGGTTTGTGCTGTCTCCAGCGGAGCGAGCATCCTCAGTTGGTCTTGTTAAAAAGGGGAAAATTCAGGCTACATGGAACAAACCATCGACTGAATCACTGTGCTCTGCAGGTTTTGTGCACATGGAGGAGCTGGTTGTCTCTGACATGTTCATCTTGACGCCTGGAGAAGAGCAAGCGGCAGCCAAGGTGGCTCCTGCTGTGGATGCTGACAACAAGAACACTCAGCACAGCCTGTGACCAGCCCAAACCTAAAACTCCAGTGATGTAGCTCCATCCCAGCACACAGCCCTTTCACCGAGGGCCCTGGACCACCTCATCTCTACAGAGCTGGGTCACTAGATACACCACCCATCTCCATGCCCACCTCAGTCTGTCACCCCAAGCGATACAAGGCATGACACACACTGTGCAGCACCAGTGGTCTGAATACAGAAGAGATTTGATGTGTAGACATATTTCAGGTTCCCTCTTTCAATTTTTTTTTTCATGCATTTGTGAAAATAAAAACATTCTGTAAGACTCGAGCAGTGTTCTACTGTTGGAGAGGTTTTTGTTGGAGGCTTTTTTTCTTAGGTTTTTTTTTTTAATAGCCAGTCAGAGGAGGCTGCAATATATTCCAGGGCCTGTTTCCCCACAATGGGTAAGTTGAATAGCTTTGCAAACTCCACCTGAAAGCTGCTGTAGATGTTTGGAGCCATCCACGGTGTCCTAGTTCTAGGGCATTGATATGGGATGGCAAATGTGACAAAGGACCTAGAGATGCATCTGTATGAGGGCAACTAGATCTCACTGGTCACTTCCATCTGCTGTATTCCCAAACATGCTCATGTGCCTTGTGTCCTTGAACATCAGTCTCCTGGGGCCTCAGAGGACAGGGGCTTCTTGTGAAGGGCTTGGAGGACACAGAGGTGTGAATCCCATGCAGAGGGATGCTGGCAGGAGGTTTAAGAAGCTGTGGTCATAGAAATAAGCACTGGTATGGTGGGTTGACCCTGGCTGGGGGCCGGG